AACCAACCGAAAACCGCATCTAGCTCGAGTAGTGTGGTGAGTGATGTCTAAACCAGAGATCGTGCTAATGTTCGCGATGCCTTCCGGCATGACGCCACTGAACCCGGTGGCGTCATGCCAGAAGTTTATTATTAACGCTGTATATTTATCGCGCGATGCAGAAAAAGGTGTGAATCTTACACAGCCAGGTCATGAGAAAAGTCAGCCTTTTTCGGTTAAGTCACAGAGAGTGTTGACCAAGGTTCTGGATAGCACGTGAAATTCTCACTGCTTACTAGCCGGATTCCCCCAAAAAGCGCACAATTCAAGGTCAAGCTTTTTCCGAGGATCGTGAGTCATTCCAACGCTCCAAATAGAACCATAAGGAATAAAGTTATTTAGTGTGGAAATTTTTGATTAATTAACTAAGTGGGCGGAGTCGTTGGGAGCGGAGCCAAGTGTACTACATAGTAAAAGTGTATCGAAGGAGGGTCTATGAGTGTAATAGATGAAAATTGTGAAAACCAGTTTATGTTGTGTAAAATGTGTTTAATGTGAATGTAGATTGTGTCGCGACAAAAAGGGGCGGAGTTATCTGGGGCGGGGCATGTAATGGGTCCATTGTGTGCAGAAAATGTGTGGTGGGCGCTTCGCGCAAGATTGGCAAAAAAAGCCGCCACGCGGAAGAACCCTAAAAAATAGGAAGTTTCTGAAAGAGGCTGAGGCCCAACGTCTCTTTACCTCTTGTGGGCATCGGGCCTCAGCGTCTTTCAGTCATGGTGAGGCACTGAACCAGCGATAGTTTTCAAGGATTTTATCCTCTGACTCGCTGATTTTTTCAGGATTCCCCTCCTTAGACTTTTGTTTCGCATATTGTTGTAATGTGTATATGTGCGAGCTGCAATTTCATTGAGTGCACATGGATCGTTGAGAATTCGGTAGAGGGAGATGTATGGGGAGTTTGAGGACTGGTCGGCGACGTCGTCGGTGAAATTGCTCGCGCTCGAGCGCGATTGGGCGCTCGTCAAACTCGTTTCCACGTTTCTCGACTTTTTCGTTGGTCACCTGGCTCGCAAAGAAATCGTGCAACGTATGCCTCATCACCTTGTTTTCTCTCAGAGACGATCCTGCTCTGCTCGTCTCACTCGCTCATTCGCTACACACAAAAATGTTATCAAACTTGGAGAACAGATTGCGGGGGAATTCTCAAGTCAGAAATGGGCTCACTCATCCCTAGAAAAAAGGTTTTCAGAACGTGGAACGGTTTTTCGTATTGTACGGGGAACAAGAAAAACCGGAAGTGAATTGTATGTTATTTTCTTCTTCGGAGACTTGCTCAATTCGAAAAAAAATGAGAGATAATTTCTCGACAAATTAATCGTTTTTAATTTGTTTCGCAACAAGAAAAGTGTTGGAACGGAGTGGTTCATCTGCTTGATGTGACTACGCACCATTTACTCGTTTCAGCTGTGTCACTGGGGCCGCTTCAAATTTTCAATCCTTATTTTGGTCAAACCAAAGCCCTGTGATGAAATTAAACCTAGTTGTACATTTACTAAATTTCCTGCTCGAAACTGCTCACAGTTGAATTTGCCGCACCCCTTGTGGCAGCTCTTTTATTCTTGTGCTGCTTTTAGAAAATGTAAGGGAGCATGTGAAGAGTGTGAATGAAGAGTATGGTCTGTATAGAACGCATAGAAATTTCGTTGTCTAATGAATATCCTATTTTCCTCTCCCGAATAGACGGAGTTCCAAATATAGTCTGGGAATTCTCTGAACCATGAAAAATTAATCTACCTCATGAGGGGTGTAGTGGAAAGGTTCAGGGTCGATGTTCGGGGTTTATTCCTGCTCAGCTTCTCAGGTCAGCCAAGCGGCGCACTTTGGCGACTGCGGGAGGGGGGGCATTTTGCACTTTCACTGCTTCACTACTTCCGGTTTACAAGTCTCACTCTGGTGAAACCTGTGAACTCTTGTGAAGCTGGAGCAAGCTCTCCTAGCCTACCACGGTAGAACGTAATCAACTCAAGAAAAGGCTACCCAGGTGGTATCAACTCACCGATGGAAAGCACAACGCTCCCCCCTCCCGTCGCCGAACTGCGCCAAGCCAAGCCTTCTACCCTCCGGTGATGACGAATTGAAACCAGATTTGTTTGGCAGAAAAAAAATCATAACTTGAACATCGGCTGCACCCCCACCCTCCCAGTGGAGATACTTTCATTTTATATTACGGTTACAGTTGTTGCAGTTACAACAACTAGTTTTTATGAACTTTATGATTTGGATGTGAGTTGGCCAGAAAAAAAGGATTAGCAGAAGCAGGGGTTTGGTTCTGAATTGAGCCGACGGACATGACTGTGATCGTCATTCGCCTCTCTACTGTGATTTTATACCAGGTCTCCGGAGCATTGCTCGCGTTTTCTTGCGACACTCGAAAAGGTAAAAGGCGAGAGCTAGCAGTCGGGTGTTTCTTAGTACCTGACGCTCACTGACTACTTCAGTACTTAGTTGACACTTTGGACACTATTTCATTGGATACAAATCTATTATTTCTATAGTGTTCTGCGGCTGTAAGGGACCTTATACAGCGTTGGCTATGGGGTACGCTGCCATTTTCAGTGTTTCAGGTTATCTCTGGTTACCATGTTACCTGCTGTTACTGTGCACTGCACTTTTTCAGCATCGTTAAGCCACAGGCTGCGTTCAGACTTCGCGATGACGCGTTCGACAGTAGCGCTCCAACACTATCCAATATGATAGGACCACACTGTGTGTTAGTGTTTCGGATGGTACAGGAGAACAAGACAGTCAGAATACAGTCCGGTACCCTCCTGTTCTCTTATGTTCTCCAAGACACTGACGCTTGGTCATGTAGTTCCCTATTCTCCTATGCTTCCCAGAACAGTGACGGCCGGCCAAGACCTTCTATGGCTGCGCTCCCTCCTATGGCAATGGATAGCTTTCCAACTTTTAGCGTGTCGACGCACGTCACGCGGTCTGAAAGCAGCAGCAGAAGGGCAACTTGCTGGGGGTAGATTACGCACGAGCACGATCTTGCTCTTGCTCATGCTCTTGCTTAGACCAACTAATTTTCAAATCTTTCCTTTGGAGTGGATTAGTGCCTGCCTGGGTGGGTAAGCCTGGGATCGGTCAAGTAAACAGGTAGCTCAACAGGTAACAGGTAGACTGTCAAGGACGTCAAATATATCCCAAAGCATGGTTTCTCTCTTCCTTTGGCTTATAGGCCAAGAACATGGGCTACTTTTGTCTTCCACTGTAAAATCAAAAGATATCACGAGCGGGAGCAGGTGCAGTTCGGCGACGGGGAGGTGGGGGGGAGGTACGGGACATTTTGCACTTTCGTTGCTTCAGGTTCTCACTCGGGTGAAACCTGTGATTTCTTATGAAGCTGGAGCAAACTCGTCAAGCCATGTAAAACCTGTCAACTCGAGAAGAGGCTGTTCAGATGGGTTGACACCTTGATATGAAATAGCAAAAGTGCAAAACACCCCCCTCCCATCGCCGAACTGCCCCGGAGGAGCATATGATTCATTGGAAGAATGCCAACCTTACTCCCGTTCAAGTGGATAAAATGGTTGACTATAAAATCGGCTCCCCGTACAAGTTTTTTCAAGCCCACGCCGTGTTGAAATGCTGTCAAGAGTACTATTTGAAGAAGAATGCGCGGCATGTTCCGAAGAATTAATCAATGATAGAAGTTTTCATCCCTGATCTCAAGAATTCGGAGGAATCATGTAGGTTTTTAAGAAAGCCCAAAAGACTCTGTGCTTGGCTAGCTAGTTTTCCTCAGTGGGTCTGCAGTATGCAGTAAAAAAGTAAGCCTTCGCCGTTGATCAATCTCTTCATGGAATGAGCCACGCATTCTACTTCCACTCACAATTGTGGTGGCTTATTGGATGCGATATGACCTATGCGATATGACATATAAGTTGTAGGGGCCTGCCTATTCAAGAGTCAGTGTTTTTTCATCCCAAGCGAATCTGGTACCAATGTGCCTGCCCTCAGGGTACAGAAGGCCTTGGCCTGAGCAGAAGTCAACTAGGGATTGGAACCTCCTGCTGCGAGGATCCTAAGCCGGCCATTTGTCCCTACACCGCCTCCGCCCTAGTCCCCAACGCCATTTTATCAGATAACTCATAGTACGTACGAATCAAATGTAGTACTATGAATGTACTGTGAGGTCATTTTAAAAGGGCAGGTGTGGTGCCAAGATTTCGTCGAAATAAGACATATCACTGATGCCTTCACCTTCAGATACGGTATCTATAACATGCAAACGGCAGCGACGAGCTGATCGAGCACATCGGTGCCACTTTGATGATGAATCAATACCGGTATAGAAAGGTGTGGAGACTTAAAGAGTAAAAGTCGCTCCGCCTCTTGATCGTAACCAGACCGTCATCACTTTCCTTATACACTGTACAACACTGGAATTGTCAGCCAGATGGCTCTGTGAAGGCGCATCATTCGTGCCGTTCGTTGCCTTCCATACATCAGGTCCATATCGTTGGCACAGCCGCGTCATAGCCAGGTTCACCCTTGGCCGCGAATCGTTCAATCAGGAGTTTCCGATAGCTTTTTTCTCGAATGTGGCACGGTTCCACGAGGCCAATTCAGCTCGACTAACTCGAAGAAATTACTTGGCGATTTTTTTCTTTCTTGAGAATGTAGGCTAGGTTTTTCCTACTGCACAGTACGTAGTGTGATATAAGTATGTTTGCTCTGTTCGGTTTCAGATTTACAACTAACTAGCGCTCTTGCGTGGCAGCACATTTTTCCGTTCAATTGGTAGGACCATGGACCTCTGGATGTTCAGTTGGAACATCAAGCCATTTCAATCATAATTCACTTATCATTTTCGTAAGGCTCTTAACATTCAAAGCGCTCTGCTCTTCGTTGAACCTCCTCAAACTTTTTCCTTCGTTCCGCTACTCCTATCCTCGTGAACACGTTGTTCTTCTACTCGTTGTTTACCACAGTCCATTTTCAGATCTGCGGCCATGATTCTGTGGTTATTGCTTTCATTGTCGATCACTGCAAATGGTATGTTTTACTTCATCACTACTAGCACTGCCTTCCTTTGGTTTCCCTTGGAATATCCGGAGGAAGGTGAGAAACTGTTCGATGGTCCAGAGCAGAAAATGAGAGGGAAAATTAGGGTCCCATGCTGCTAACCGGGGAATGATGGTTCGTCGAATGTACGTCTGATGGATGAGTCTTTGGATGGTTAACGAGTCACAGATTCATGTTTGCTGTGGTTCTCTCTGGACAAACTTATGGAGGTGTGCCAGGGGAGCATACCCACACTAAAAACGAATTTTGGACGTAAGGTGAAACCGTCACCGAACGGTAGTGCGGTTGGCCTCATGAACAGGTCCCCTCAAAAAAGACTCTGTGACTCTGCTCAGAGAAATCCTCAAAAGACTCACGTTGCTAGACTGCTCATTTCGAACGTCCACTTTGAACTACCACCCTTCTTTTGTAAGTGAATATCATGAAGATTACAAAATTCTTCTTCAATACGATCCCTCACTTTCAATTTTGAACCTGTCACATTTTGTGCCAGTCACATCCAAATCCATCAAGATGGGAGAGCAAAAGGCAGGGGGGGGGGTAAGGAAACCTTCGATTAACTTCTTGTAAACAGTAGAACTGCGACGTCATCGACACATAGAAAGAGATCTATAAAGTGCCTACCATACACACAGTAGCAATAGGTTGGGAAATAGTTTACTTTGAGTGGAAATTTTAGAAGAAACAAAATGTAGAAAGAAGAAATGTACTGACGTTGTGAGATTGGAAGATAGTTGTAAGTGCTACCATACCCTATTTCGGGGTACAAGTTTTACTCCTTAGCGCATCAAATATCGAGTGCACTGGGAGAACACTGCGGGGACCTCATACCGAATTTTAATCACAGAAAAAAGAAACGCAGTGATGATGTGGGCTACTGGCGAGTAGCGCTGTTCCTTCGCCAGGTCCATGGATCAGAATCCCAGATTAACATCATCAAGGCCAACCGTTCATTTCATCGTTCGTGGTCCGAAACCTCTGACGGCAGGAGAGCAAAGAGCGAAAGACCAAATTCACATCCACTGTGAGCAAATCATGTCAGTTCTCACCGCGCATTGTTGGATTAGGCTGGATAAAAACAAGCTCCACATTCTGCCCCCTCAACCACCTGGTACGTCATCGGTGCGATCATGGCGCGAAATTGCAATGTCAGCCTCACTCCTTCCCTCCCCCCCCCCCCCTTTTCCCCCCTTTCCCCCTCTTTTCCCCCTTCCTTATTTGGATGTGGCAACGCACCACTCACTGCTCTATCAACCTCGCGAAGAGTTTCCATAGTAGAATTTCTACAGCACCTACCACTTTCCCATTCCTACCGGATTTAGGAAAAAAATCGTATAACGCGTATCAAAAGACAGAGTCGACTATCGGAAGAAATGTACTTACTGCTTGGGAAGCTTTTTCTCAAGTTCAAATATTATTTCCCCTCCTACGACAGAATGTAAGTCCCTTAGTGGGTTTCTGCTCTACTCTGCCCTCGCAAGGCTATCTTCTTCTGAAGGAGGGGCTGGAATAAATGAAAAGAGTTCAACAATCAGAAAAAAAATCCGTGGAACAAATACTACCCCCCCCCCCCTTTCCATCCCAGCTACCGATTACTGCTTCCTAAAGTGAATTTCACAACGGTGATGTGCCCTATTTACAGCACCAGTGGACTGGTAACGTAGCTTGTTTACTCCATCGACGGTCTCCAAAAAAGATGGAAAAGAGACCATGGCGTAGTTTACCATGGAAAGATCATTGAGAACTGTTTCAGGTGCATCCATCCCACCACAACCGGTAATTCCAACGGCAAGCGCTTGCCTACAAGGCTGTTTCGCGTCAGGAAGCATCGTCAACGCCGCCTTCGATCTACTCAACTTCAAGAGCATCGCAGTTGACATTGAGAATTTCTGCAGGTTTGAGTTGTACATGTCTTTAGAAGTGGCCATTCAGTCTTGCGCGATTCTCCACATCCATTAACTAGCGCCTTGCCGTTGACCCCGAGCGCCGCCACGTCGAATAGATTAGTTTTGCTCAGCGCGATCACATACGAAAACGAACAACAATTCGATTCTTCAATTGAGTTTTTGCCAAGGCCATGGTGTAGGGATGAAAGTGTCTGTTCCGAGTGATACTTCGCTCGTAGACATTCCTACCAGGTTCTCTTCAAACATCTCTCTATTTCTCTCAAAGACGAATTGGGCGTGGCTCAGTGGGTAGGCCTGGGACCGGTCAAGTGATAGGCGGCTGACTGCGGGGGACGCAAAATATCTTCCAGCACATCAAACTAACTTTCCATTGGCTCATGAACCAAGGACACTGGCTACCTTCATCCTTTAAGGAGTAAGGCCAAGACTCCTTTAGTAAGGCCAAGACATCTATCTCACTAGGAAGGGCACATGACCTATTGGAAGAACGCCAACTCTTCTTCCGTTCAGTCTAGCATAGTCACACCACGGTAATTCTAAAAGAACAAGGACCAATATTCAATGGGTCAGTCTAACGATCGCATGACGCGACGAGGTTTGACATCAGAAGTTTTTGCCTGCCGCGCTCACCCAGTTCGGCGATGGGGTCGGCAGCCGACCGTTCCGTCAGAAGGTTAAGAGCCAGCCTTGAACGTTTCACATTTCGAACAAGAACAAGGTTGTGCTGGTGATGAGACAAATTGCGCGTAGGTGGCGTGAGGAGATCTCCCTTACCGTAACCTCGAAAATACTTCGCCCAATTTTCCTTTTTTACAGTTTGAACTCCGCATTGCTGAAATGTGGACGGGAATGTCCATCGGAACAAATACCCGAACTGGAGGCGAGGACCCATGAAAGCTCATTCATTTGCAGTAATAAAGTAGAAGGTACGTGAGTGATAGTTTTTCCCTACTTTCTTAGGAACAATGACGCTTTGTGCCACTACTGGCCACAGCTATAAGCCAGTTCGGTAAAGCGTGACCAACAATTGCGTTTGCGTGAGAATCGACTGAGATAACCTGTTCTCACCCGCGCTCTCAACGCTACTAAAATAGCTCGGGGGGCGCATGTATATGCGTAAGAGGGTCAAGCGGCTTATTAAATTCAAGGTATTTCGAAGGAAAGGGAAATAACAAAGAGGGAAACGCTCATAACAGATGAATTTCATTTTTTTTAGAGTTCCGCCTGGTATCTGGATGTTGGGGGGTCAACTGATGTACTCAAGCATCGCGGCATCGGGAAGTGGGGAGTGCCTGACTGAGGTAACGTTCCGTCTTGACGTGTACAGTGCTGCTACGTGAACGCAGCCCGTGTTCTCGGCGGAGTTGCTGGAATCTGCAAGTAAGTTCACTACTAAAAGTTACACAAACAGAATTATTAGTACCGAAAAAAGGATAGCAGCACTCAAAAGTGTAGTACTAGTATAGGTAAGCCAAAAAGAGTACAAGGATGTGCAAAGAGCAGAGAAATAATAATATAAAAAATAAATAAAAAAGCGGGAAAGTATGTGCCGAAGTCACGATTCATTCCATTTCACAGCCTAACTTGGCGGAGACGATCGCAGCTTTAAAGGCTCATAAAGACACCGGCCTGTCCTTGCCAGGCTCTGTTCGATTTTTGACACCGATGAACCATCATACCAAGGGAAGGACGTCAACGAAAATGCAATTCGTCGCCTCTCAGGCTCGCGCGAGCGATTGGTCGCGAGCGTATCTAAGTTTGCATCAGCGCTGCCAGAGAAGTGGAGACGCCGATTATCACGTAGATACACTGACAACTTTTCCCCGATCGTAACCTTTAAGGCTCAATTTCCACCAACTATCTGAGTCATATCTGCACTAGTGTGATACCAAAATGCGGTGCGGGCTGTGGAGGACCTCGCACCTTGTCAAGCAAGTGCGTCGCTATACCATTAGGGCCCCGGGCCCCTTCACTCGAATGTTAAAATGTGTGAGTGGGGTGAGCGTGTAAGGCTACGGCATAACCGTCAAACTTACGGTTAGAGGGCAAGAGCGGCCCTGGTGGCGCAACGGACAGCGCACTCGCCCGAAAGCGTGAGGTGAGGGTTCGAGTTGTGGCGTCAGGCTTTTGCCCATAAGTCAGCTTTTTGTGGTAGCTTTCAAAGCGTGCACTGCAGCCTAAAACAGTAGTTATCATGATATAAACCCTTTGGCTATTTTTGGTCATACATTGCCAGTTGCCCCGCTACAATCCTAGAAACAGCGTCATTTGCAAGCGCGATGTCGCAGGCGACGTCCACCACCGCGGCGGATTACGATTGTCTTGTCACATACCTACCGAGCACATGCGACCCCTTACCTTCACGAGCAGGTCAAACACAACCCGCACGTCGCGGAATCTACAACGCACGTATAGGAGTATGGGAATAGTATGGGAGTAGTAATTGAGATCATAGGAGAAATCACCCAAGCTCGCCCTTGGATTTATCCTTGAAAGTTTGCTCTTTGAATTTATCAAATTATTGGTTTCTCATATGACCCACGTGATTTCCAGAAAGCAAATTTGCTTGATGAGATGCACTCAAAAAGGTCTCAACAAGGAATGTGCCGGAGCTGGTGACCTTTTCAAGGTGAATTCATCCGTTCTCAGAAAATTTATTAAAACATTAAATGACCTTTCGTGAATTTCAGGACATGGCCAAGCATCAGGTGAGAAGCGGAATGGAAACGTTGGCAGCTGCGATTGCTGATGAGAACGCCACCACTTTGCATTTCATGGCTGAAAACTACCTGAAGAATCTGCCAAACGAATGCGTCTTTTTGAAGGACGTTGATGAGTTGGAGAAGGTCGGTAGTAACTTGTTCTCGGGCTCATAATAGTTTACAACATACCGAGATATCTTTCAGTTATTGGAGCCCGTAGCCGAAACAACTCATGCAGCTACCACAGAATCATCTGCTACATCTTCTTCAGAGCTGACGACAC